TGCTGGGCTGCTGTGAGGAACTACTATTCATAGCTGTTCTTGAACCTGGGCTGTGGCATGATTTGATTTTATTTTTTAACTGCGGCACAGCTCACGGACGGGTGGGGAAGCCTCCATTCTTTCACTCAGACATCGCCAGGTGCCGGCTGGGAAACCATCTTGGACATTCCTCTTTTTTTTTTTTTTTTTTTCAAATGCTTTCTTACAGAAATCACTGGGGTGGAAAAGCATAGCAAACAAGAAACTGATGTTCTGAGATGAAAGATTGCGGTCAGTGAGGCCGCACAGACACCTGGTTGGGAAGCTCGGGTGAGACGTGTCCCTGTGAGATCCCAGGGAAGCAGAGCCCCCTGGGAAACTCCCTAACTTCCCGGGAGACCGCGAGGACTGGCACTGGAATCCTGGCCGCGCGGGACCCGCTCCTCCCCCGGTGCCTGGTGCCGGGTGGCTCTGACCGAAGAGCACCGCTGCATGGGGTCATGAAGCGGCACCAGGACACCTGGGCTGCTCGTCCACCTCGACCCGGGGCTCTGGGGCCACGGGGACGGGGAGAAGTCGGAGGCGAAAGTGAGACCCTCAACTCAGCCTTAGCCTCACTCTCCTGTTTGACACAGAGTAGAAACGGGAGTGGATTCACACCGTTTAAAATATCATGAACATTACCCAGAGCTGTTCGGCAGCACTTATTTGTTGAAAAAGTGAAAACCATCTGTTATCCTGAGGGCCAATAATTCCTGTGGAATCCAGTGGGTGTTTGGGATTCTCCTAGCTCCTAAAGCAGTCTCAGATTATAAATGAAGAAGCCCCACGTGGAAACCACAGCAGTATTTTGAGTTTCTTTACTCCAAATCCCTTCTAATAGCTGGGCATGCCTGCCAAATTAGGACATTTTTTAAAATGAGAAAACTCATGTAATAATTCTAATTTTTGCTATTTGATCTGCAGACATGCATGTATAATTGTGCAAAGATATATAAAGAGGTGATTTTCACTTTATTCATAACAGGAAAAATCCTTTAGTCAGAACTTGACACAAATTTGTCGTGGAAAACCATGCAGCCATGAAGACTGCGATACGGGAAAGGTTTCTGGTGCGGATTTGCATCTCTCACACCTCCCCACAGGTGTGCACACACCACGCACACATATGTTCACATGGCAGCACACCCAGCTTCATGGGGAGGGAATGTAGGAAAAAATCAGACTGAATAGTCGGACCAAAAATGGAAGTGTGGTTTACTTTTCCACCCTTTAAAAATGTTGGAATTATTTTTATGGTGGACATGTTTGGGGGATGGTGATGTTTGGTGGGCCTCTGTGCTAATAGCAAAGGTGAGCGTACACACTCAGCCTGAGGCAAGTTTCTCTGAACACTTCCAGAAAACGATTTAGCAATAGGCTTAGGAATGGTTGTACATTTGGATGCCAGAATCCATTTCAAGGAGTCTCTTCTATGTAAATGATTTCAAAGCATAAGAGATTAATGCAAGGAGTATTTGAGAGAATTATTTATCAGAGCAAAAGTGGCAACAATTTACATACGTAACCCAAATAAACAGCAGTTGTGGTACAGCTGCACAAATAGAAATTAGAGTGAGTCCATGAAAGTGTGTGTCCATGATTACATTGTAATCTTAAAGTGATGTGAATATTACATGTAGTGAGATCATAGCTGTAAGAATACACAAAAGTGCCAGGCATGGTAGCTCATGCCTGTAATCCCGGTACTCAAGAGGCAGAGGCAGGAGGATCGCTGAGAATTCCAGGCCAGCCTGGGCTACATAATGAGTTCAGGGTCAGTCTGAACTACAAAGGGAGACCCTGTCTCAAAAAACCAAAAAAAAAAGAATACACAGAAACAAGACTAAAAGCACATTACAGATAAGAAAGTGCCCAAATGTAAATAGCAGTTATATTTTTGTGCAAGAATTTATTTTTCTTGTTATTCATTTTTCTGTACAATTTTTCTACAATGATCAGATTTAATTCTATAACACAAATAACAAGATAACATTTTTTAGACTGTTAGTACAGCCCACCAACATAAAAAACACAGGGCATGTCAGATGACTTGGTGACCAAAAAAAAAAGTCAACTTATGAGGGACATTTGAAAAACTTCAAATGGCTTGCATGGATGGCAGTCACGATTAAAAACTGCCAGTCGGTCACGTGGAAGAAACTGTAAGATGGGAAAATTCGGGGAAAGTCACATTTATATGTGAATAGGATGACACTATTCCGCAACTGGCACAAAGTGTCTGCGTTTCCAGATTTGGGGCTTTAGGTAAATGCCACCCTAGTTTATAAATTCTTCTGTACTTTGCTTTTTAGCTTGGCATGGTATGGTGGAAGCTACAGGATCTCTTGTTTAGAGTCCTGGTAGTAAAGCTATAAAGAAAGCAAGAAGGGATGCAGAGGGGTGCCCTCGGGGGGAACGGGACTGGAGTGGGGATCTGGGAGGCCACAGGGCCGTTTAAGAGCTCAGTGAGTCTCTTTCTTAAACTAGGCGGATAATACACAGGCAGTGTGACGTTATTTTACAAATTACACATGGCACCGTGCCTTTTGGATCTATAAATATCAAATAATAAAAATGGAAGATGTTTCTTTGTGTCAAAAACTAAGATTCTGTTAAAAAAATGAGAATGAATCAAGAAATTTTGCAAGCTCAGATGCCCTCTAGTGTTCAAATGAGAGAAATACAGTTATTGTCCATTTGCAACATGATCGGCTCACAATTTCACTTCCTTTTAAACAGACGTTTATGGCAAATGAGGCAAAGTAGCACACACCCGAATTCATCCAAGTGGAACAGTATGTTCTTACGCCACATTTTAAAATGCTTCCAGATTTTTCCTCACTATCTTTGAAGAATGATCCAAAAGAATACTTAGCAAGTATGTTTAGTAAAGCATTTCAAAATTCAAATGTACATTTCAGTAAAGAAACATTACTGAATTTTTATACCTGAAAAAAATTTTTAAATTGGTTTTATTTTCATATCCTCCCTTTAAAATTTTTATGGTTTTTGGTTTTCGTTGCTTGCAGTACTGGGGAGTGAGCAGAGCCTTGCTCTGAGATACATCCTCCGCTCTTTTTTATTTTTTATGTTTTACAACAGGGTCCCACCAAGCCGGCCAAGCTGGCCTGGGACTTAAATCCTCCTGCCTCAGCTTCCCGAGTACTGGGGTCCGGGTGTGCACAATGACTCCTAATTTTGATGCTTAGTAGCAACTGTTTCCTTGCAGAATTGATGGGAAAAGCATCACCAACCCCACCTTTGGGGCTCCACGCGTGAGCTTTCTCTGGTGGGCTTTGGAAAAATGAAGCTAGGTTTTGCGGGGTTCCTTCCACCCTGCTCTTTGATTGTCCACAGAGTGTGTCTATCTCTGGATTTGTACCCACTCTGCTGGCAAAGCCTCTGGCCTGTCATCTTTATTGGACAATGGTTCCTATAACATTTTTGGAATTCAATTTTGTTGACTCATTAAGTTCTTCAGTGAGGTGCGTTATGTTACTATATTTTAAAGCCAAAGAGTTTTCAAACATATTTCACAGTTTGACGGAATAGTCAAAAGGATTAGATTAAACAGATAACAGAAAAAGTCAAAGCTATTGTAGGGAATAGCATTGTATTTGACAAGCAAAAGAATATATCTAAAAAGTGCTAATGTGAAACCTAACTGGTTTGTGTCATGGGCAACTCATGATGTTAAGATTCTTTCACATTCGCGGTGCTATGGTGACTTGCGCTAGGCCTTGCCCTGGATCTTCACCCGGGTTTGCCCACCATCCTGGAAGCGGATGTTAGAGGGGCAGCACAGGGCATCCCAGAAGAGCACAGGACTGGGACGGCGAGCCAGGCCTCGAGGGCTGCAGCAGCGCAATCAGCCATCCACACCCACCCAGTTTCCTTCTGCGGATCCAACCAACTGCAGATAGCAGAGACTGGGAAAAATCAATTGAACATGCACAGACTTTCTTCCGTGTGAGTATTCTCTAGACAAGAGAGTGACTATGTAGCCCACATTTGCACCGCATTAGGTATTGTAAGTAATCCTGCCACGATTTAAAGAACATGCTGGCTCTGTGCTCATCCTCCTCTATTTCATAGCAGAGACCTGAGCACCTCTGGCCTTGGGACCCAGGGATCCTTGGCTTGCTCCCCACACACACCAAGGGCGACTAACTTGGGCTGAGACTGGGGTCCCCACTGGTCACAGTGTGTAGCATGTACTCACGGTAGACATGAACAGTAAATACAGCTTTACAACACAACATATGGGGGATGCCCAGCTACTCAGGGCTGGACCAGGCTCCTCCCTTAGGATGGTGCAGAATTGATATGGCTCAGTTCTGGGGGATTCAGATCTCTTTTCAGGGCCTCCCTGGGCAGGTGTTACCGGCCCTCCCCGGGCAAGGCCTTCCTGGTGCTCTGGAAGGCAGGATTCTAGCACCAAACACACATGAGTCCTTCTGCAGAAGCAGCCAGCTTTGCCAACTTGACAGTGACCTGTCGTGGGTCAGCCATGTCACTGCTGACCGAAACATTAAATCTGCTGGCCCTGCCCTACCTGAGTGGTGGTCTTCTGTGCCACGGTTGTCAGATGAACAAAACCCAGCTCACAGAGTGAGGTGGCTTTCGAAAAGCCCATGGGTGAGTCCCTAAAACTACTAGAATGTTTCTTCCTACAACACATTAAAAAACTAGCCAGGTGATTTTTTTCCAATGTGGGGGACTGAACTCAGGGCCTTCACACTGAGGCACATCCTCAGCCCCGGTATTTACTTATTTGAGTCAGGGTCTCACTAAATCACTAAGTTGCCCAGACTAGGCTCAAACTTGGAATCCTCCTGCCTCGACCTCCAGGGTGCTGAGATGACTGGAATCCGTGACCTCAGTGGTCACTGGCCAGGCCCCTGTGCTTATCCCTTCCCTCGTAATGAAGCCTATCCCCACATGTCATCCCGATGGACAGAGTAAGCGAGGGGACTCACCGACTCGTGTCCGTGTACAGCGGCTCCGATCGCCTCGGCCGGGCCAAGGATGCGGGGTCCCGGCCCGGGTTGTCCACAGCGTCGGTGTCGGCCGTCAGGACGTGGCCACTGTGGGAGAAAAGAAAGAGGGCATTGAGTCCTTAAGAGGCCAGGAGGAAACTGAAACCCTGCCTGTCAGGGACCGAACTACAAAATGACAGAAGAGGAAGATGCCAAGGGCAAATGCCACCCTGAGAGTCTCCCAGACCTGAGACTTTCTCTGGCTGACGGCTCCAGTAGCAGCACCACATATTCTACTTCATCAAATAACACATTTAGGAAAATAGGAAAACGTGACTCCCCCTCTCATTTAATCAACATCTTTGTGACCAACGTTTGATGGCGCTCCTGGCATCAGACGTGCACCGTGCACCAGCGTAGGCCCTGGGAGCAGGCTATAAACATGGGTGCTGGGAGCGGCTATGACTCAGAAAGGCTTCTGCTGCCTGCAGCCCTGAGAAACAGTACTCACGTGTAGAGAGGGATGTATTGACTTCTTGAACTCGGACTCACGATTAGAGAGAAAATAGGGGCAACTGGGTTACTGAGTATTGTTAATAAATACCAGATTCTTAAAATACCCATCTAACCAAAATTAAGTCTTTAGACATTTCTCACTGGCCTTAAAAAGTATGTGATTTTAGAAATAATTTAAAGATATACTTTTGGCTTTTTCAGAATGTGATATAAATGGAAATGTACAATGCATAACCTTTTGGATCTGGCTGCTTTCATTGAAAATGTGTTTAAAATCTCTCCCTGCCTTTGTTTGCTGGGTTTATTCTTTTTCTGTGCTGAGTAGTACTCCACTGAATGGGCATACTCTAGTATGTTCCTCCATTTACCTGCTAAATGGCATGATGGTTATTTCTAGACTTTGTGGATTACAAATATGGCTGTTATAAACATTCATATATATATTTTTATGTAGGCTCCTGGAAGTGCATTTCCCAGGAGCAGAGTCAAGAGTTCTGAGCTACAGAAGACTAAGCTTTCATTCATCAGCTGATTTATCAGCAAAAATGAAACTATAAATGCAATGATGTCTACTGTTTTGGTTGGCAATTTGCTCCTTTATTACATGACATGAACTAAGAATTAATATCAAAAATCAACATCTTTTAAAAAAAAGATTTCAGTGGGACTATCAACAATTCTTGCTTCCTGTATATGTGAAGATCTTAACATTTTTAATGCTTTAATCTTTCATATTAATTTTACCACTAGTTTATATTCTGAAGCCTCAGTTGGAATGTTTTCCACATTCGACCAAAAGATATTTTAAATAATCTTTTTTCTTTTTCAGTACTGGGGATGGAACCCAGGGAATCAAAAATCTTGCAAAGTAGCTTTAAATCTGTCTCAATCAAGTGTGAGTGCCTTCACCAGATGCGGTGTTCTCCATACTGTCTCTCTGTGTAAACTCTGCAGGTAGGCAGTCTTGATTAGGGTCCTGTACATTCACACTTCATGTGGAGCAAAGAACCCTTACTGCCTGTTGGTTCACAGTATTGTCTAAAGGACTAAACGCATGCATGAAGGTATGAAACATCAAATCCATAACAGCCATGGTCCCCGAGGAGGCATATGTGCTTGGGAGGGCTGCAGAATGGGGCTCCTGTTGTGTGGACATTTTATTTCTAAAGAGAGAAAGAAGCTACACAGATTTCTGTCAGCACTGAAGATTGAACCTAACAGCTACATCCCCAGCCCTTTTTTAGTTTGAGTCAGAGTCTCACTAAGTTGCCTGGGTTGGGGTCACTCTTGTGATCCTCCTGCCTCAGCCTCCCAGAGTGCTGTACAGGTGTGTATCACCGCACTCAGTTCAGATACACAGACTCGGATATATATGTACCAGGGATCCAACTTGGGAACTTTCACTTGCAAGGCAAGCAGCAGAACCTCTGAGCTAAATCCCTGGCCCATTTATATGTTTTTGTACATATGAAATATTTAAAATTAATTTAAAAAGTAAAAAGAAATGGCAATTTGGGTCAAAAGAAAAATAGACCAAATGGTGACCTTTTCGTTTTTTAAAACAATGCACAAAATAGCCCATGGGGAAGTTGTAGCAGTAAAGCCATGGTTTCTGCCATTAACAGAACATGAAATAACTGTGTGATACGAAGTGGATAGAGAAACCTTGCAGTGTATTCTATGTGAAGCCCATGGAAGACTGCAATACCGTGACTGTCCACATGGAGTTGTTTATAAAGCACTCCGGATTTCAACATGGGCACGGTACATTTAGCGGTCTAAATCTAAGGAGGAGAAAGACACTGAGCACGTGGCGAGGGACCAGGGCAGCTTCCCGCCCTGGGGTGCCGGGCTGGAGCCTGGGACCCTCTTCTCCCATCTGACCACGGCGAGGTCAGATTCTCAGTGCCAACTACTCCAGAGTGAGAAACCTCGAGAGGAGATGCAAACTTACAAAGTGATCGGCTTGCTGGATGGGAAGAACGGCCTCGTCTGAAACCTGTCCCCCAGTCCGCCAACCACCTGGAGGCAGAAGGACCCAGCGGGAGGCGAGTGAAGAGGCTGTGACTCCAGGGTGCAGTGCTGCTCCTCCCGATCCCAGCACGCTGGCACCCCGGCTTGCGCACCTCCCAAGTGCAGCCTCCCTGCTCACAGCTGCACCTGCCCCATTGCTGCCGCCTCAGCCTCCGAGCTTCCTGCCTGGGAAAGACTTTGTACACCAAGGAAATAGTGGGCTTACCAAGTTTTCTCAAGATTTAAAAATACATTGAAGCACCTGTGAGATCCTTAAAACATAGATGGCATGGGACATATTTTTAAATCTTTTAACTGATTTTAATTCCTACATGAAAATTCCAAGGGTGAGTCTTACAAAAGCCATGTTTTCCCTCTCTTTTTGTCATTTTTCTCTGTAAAAGCAGAAGATGTTTTAGAAGATAACAGGGGCTTCTCAATCTGGGGCTCTTGTGCCTTGCTGGGACCCGTGTTTATAGTGTGTTTTGATGAGACTGGCTTCCTTTTTAGTCCCATGGGCTCTGTGTGTTCAGAGGTCATTATGAGAAGTCACCTGACAGCGGAAGCAGACTCTTGTGCAGGGTGATGTGGCTCCAAGGCCGAGGGAGGCAGTGGACCCTGAAATTGCCCTGCAAGCACAGAGCGGAGAACCTGAGGCAGCATGTGCCTGAGAATGCTTGCGATGCAGCCCCAAGGCCAGGGATCAAGGAGGGAGGAGGGACACTGTTTGCAGGAGTTGGGCTTGACACAGGGTGCGGTGGACTTGGGGCCTGGGGAGAAGGTTAGAGGAGAGGAGATGAGATGCCATGGGCAGAAGTTGGATGGAGAAAGAGGGGAACAGCGAGGGTCGGGGAAACAGGTGAGGAGTAGGCTGTGGGCAAACACCAGGTGTGCCTCCTGTCGAGGGGCATGGATTGTATTTTGTAAAAATGATGGGTTTAATCAGTGGGCCAGCATGACTGATACACTTTCAAAACAGGTATTCCAGCTGTTGCATGGTCTCAGTACTCCACAGGATGAAATCTCAGTATTTGGAAATGAAAAGAAGGGGCCTCTCTCCCGACAGCTCAGGATGCTCTGCTGGGTCCCATGATGAGATGACAGAGAGCAATCTGACCCTCAGTGTGCTCTGGTCTGCCTTGGGGAGTGCAGAGCTAAGTCCTCCATCTGCCCCTTCCCAGATGCTCTGGCCTACATTACCCGCTGCTATCTGTGTCCTCCATTGTTTCCTCTTTCTTCTGCCATGCTAAACATAAAGACATTGCAATTTGCTCTGGGAAAGAGCTCATCTTTAAATAAGCAAGCATTTTTAGCATGGAGAATGTTGAAGAATTTGCAGTGATCAGTGACTTTCGTGATTATGGGACTTCGACTCCTGTGCAGTTTTGGACAATCGAGTATCATCGGGGCGTAGAGCTTTGGGTTGAGTCCGAGTACAGTGAGGGGTGCATGGTGCCTCTGGGCCCTCACTGACCTGGGTGATGGCTGGGGTGCTTTCATATCTTTTCAGGGTGCAGCTCTGTGAGATGAGGTCAGCAGCCTTTTCTACTGTTGTTTCTTCTGGATCAAGTTTTGGCAGCAGCATCATATCCCAAGGAACAACTTCATATGCTCTGGGAAATTATTACATGAGGACATTTTAGGCAGAGCACACATTTGGTTGTTAAAGCTCAGAACAACACATCATATACTGTGATAAGCATGACCCTAAGATGATGCTGGATCCCTGCCCCTTAGTATCTGCACCTTGGGGGCCCTCCCTCCCCAGACTGAGCAGCCAGGAGCACTGAAGGGCTCCCTGTGGAGTGTTCCCGTGTAGGACTCAGCTCCAATAAGTAAGGTCTCTAATCAGCTGAGCCTGCGTTCCTCAAAAGATGGGTCATCCCGCGTGGACCTGGTTCAGCAAGCCAATCCTACACAGGGCTGAAGAACAGCAGCAGATGCTCGTTGGCCACCCTTGAAAGAGCAAAATTCATGACTCCCATAGCTGCGATTTTGTCAAGCATCTAAATGATCTTAGAAAATGAGAGGCCAGCTCAGAAGACACCTTCATTCCAACCTGGAGACTCCTGATAATGACCTCCTGGGGCCAGCTCTGACCTGCAGCCTGAGCGGTAACAATAGTCACCAAGCTCGGGGAAATTGGTCACACAGCAGTGGAAAACTAATGCATATACTCACATGAATGTTAATTTCCAAAAAAATTTCATTTGACTTTCACAGCTAGGCCAGAAGACCATTAATTTATAAATAAATGATGGCTTTGGAAATTGATTTTGCTTGCTTAAGGTCACTCAGCTATTAATGGTCAAAGTCAGGACTCAAGTTCAAATTACCTCCCTTTCAGAGTCGGCAGCATTCCCACTTTTCCCCATGCAGCCACTAAACTGTACAACTCCTGAGTGTGGGACAGGGCTGCAACCATCCCATGAAGTACAGTTATCTGAGCACTTTGAGCTGGAATGGGAAAGCGAAGTTGAAATGCAACATGTGCCTTGGAGCTCCGCATGCGAAGGGAAAGGACCTTGGGCCGCACAGGGGCTCTGGGGTCCACACACCCTGGTCTTCCCTATTCCCCAGCTACTGCTTCTCTCCTCTCCACCCATACCTCCTGCTGAGCCTGAGTCCAGCTTCTCCTTGTCACTCTGCTGCAGTCTCATTCTGCAGATCAATCTGCTCATCCATCTTGGGCCCCTTCCTTGACCTAGCATGGCATGAAACACTTCACCGCTCTGCCCTCCCTGGAGAGCTCTCTGAACAGCCTTCCACTTCCAGACTCTGGTGCTGTTCGTGTGCCTCCTGCCTCAGTTTCTTCTGCTGTACCTGCTCTTTCCTCACCTTCTAATGTAGGGATGCTAGGACTCTGCATTCTCCTTTAGTGTCCTCATTCAGCCATGGCCTCTACAAGCTCTAGAACCTGGGTGTGTCTCTCTAGTAGGCGTCTCTCCAGAGCTTCAGGTCTGTTTATCCCATTGCCCACTCCAACATTTTCACATTCAACATCTCTAAAGCCGCCCTGAGTTTTCTCTCAGACTTGCGCCACCTGCGTTATTGGTTGATTTCATAATAGCAGCCATTCTTTCTGGAGTGAAGTGGAATCTCAG